TGATGTTGCGAGGTTGGGGGTTCGAGCCGCGGGCCCGACGTTGTGTCCTTGGGAAAGGCACTTTACACGAATTTTCCTCACTTCACCCAGGTGGGAATGGGTACCCGGCCATAGACAGAGAACGATCTTGTCAGTATGTTAGTGTTTTAGCGCCTATAAACGGCTGCTTGCACTGTATGCTTCCAAGGAAGTTGATGTTGTTACTGAATGCTCTTAGGTCTGCTGGGGTAATAGTATAGATTGTGAAGCGCATAGAGCCTGCTGTTGAGCAGAGATTTGCGCTATACAAATGCTATCTATCTATCTATCTATTATTATTATTATTATTATTATTATTATTATTATTATTATTATTATTATTATTATATTAGCCCCCTGTACCGCCGACAAATTGCTCGCCAGAGGAAGGCCCACAATACAGCGAAACTCGGTCTGATTCAACGAAGTCGTCGGGCCTGACCTTCCATTTCGTTGTATCCGAGTGTTCGTTATAGTTAAAGCAAACATGATGCTTTTTGTGTAGATAGTTATACGCACCACCGAGCAAGTGATGTATAATGTACGCGGTGTATTTGACTTTCTCAATCACAAGTAGTTTGGTTGCTTAGTATAGTATTAGTATAGTGCGGTCAAAAAATACATGGCGCAACTTATTGTGAAGTATTTCCTTACCTATCGAACATAGATTCTCCTACTTTTGCACAATGTCTTATACCAATTTGTCTCAACAGGTGAATATTTTTTTAAAACTCCAGCACACTGTATTCTAAAAAAAACTTCCTAATAAACACTAGATCTAGAATCTAGATCTAATAAAAAAAATCCCAGTCGATGGTTTCTACAGATTTTTAAAAGTTTACAATTCCGGCAATATCGCTTTCAAGAGCAAGTCTGTCTTTTTTTTTCTAATCACAATAGTATGCTTATTGAACGTATGTTTAAGGAACCTTTGGTGCAAAAAGAATGTGTTCATTATTAAAATATATTTTGTAAGAGGTTTTGCCACTAAAAAGTGTCAATGGCGAGCTGTGACGTAGGCCATATGCGTATACAAAATGTGTGCGAGAAGCGGGAAGTGCTGTGAACAATCACATTTTCCGCGTGATGGAAATTTATACAATATGTAGTATTTTATTAAAATTTATGAAGAAAAGTTTCTAAATCAGGCCTCAATTATTGTGGAAAAATATGATTAAGTTAAGTCAAATTGATACAAACTGCTGTGCAAAGCATGGGTGACATTGGTCCACCCTTAAAAGAGATATTTGAGGATAAGTTGCGCCACGAATTTTTTACCGCACTATAGGTGAGGCAGCGTGGTGGAATCAGGCTCTCGTCAATTTTTGGTCATGTAGAGTTATTGGTATCATCTTAAAGCTTGTTCACTTGTCTTTATTGGGATGGGGAAAAATATCCATTTATCTTGAATACAAGTCGAGATATTTGCGAAAGAAGGAGATGGGGGTCACCTGTTTTCATAGGTAAGATTAGTGAGAAAATGGCCGCCAAAGATTAGTTATTTCCTTAACTTAAGAGTCCGGGGTAACTGAAATTTTTTTTTTTTTTTTTGGGTGCCTTTAATCAACGTTTTTCAGAAAAAATCCACGCAGAAATAAGTTCTTGAATGGGCATGAAAGGTGCTGAACCAAAAAACAAAAATCTGATAAAAATTCACAAACCTGTGGGAAAATGCAAGTTTCTTCACTTTGAATATTTTGACGAGAGCCTGATGCCACCACGCTGCCCCACAATAGGTATTTCCGTTTCACTAATGCCATACCGAAAAAATGCGTTGAAAAATTCTAGGAAAATACACTCAACTCTACTAAGCACACACTACAAAAAGGCAGGTTCTTTTAAATGCACCCCTGTGTCGTCTATCGTGTACAACGTATTGTTTTACTTGTAGTAAGAGTTTTACGGCACTTGCAACACATTACGGTCATATAAGTGCCAAAGATTGGATGTGTTACAAGAGAGTAACAAACTCCAAAAAAAAAGAGGAGGAGGAGGGATAAGGACGATAACTGTTTGATAGGAAAGAAGGAGCAAACCACACCAGAACACCCGCCAACCACCCACTATAACGCAATGTTCGAGGAACGAATTATGTTGCTGTGTATAGAGCCTAGCTTATGGCAATTTTTGGTCGATCTTAAGCACGAGCGGGCTATCCCGAAAAATGCTGTTTTGAGAAAATCGAAGGCAAAGTTGTTGCCCGTTATTGAGTTTCTTTAAAAGGCAAGGAGACTTTTCTCTATACTCAAACCAATATTATACACACCAATGAAACCAAACTTCTCCTATAGGTAGGGCAATGCCCGTTTTTGGTGTAGGTCAAGATTTTTGGAAACCCCCGAAATCTGGGTTAGCCCGCTTGTATTTAAAAGAGTCCATTTGATTCCACAGTCCAGCGCGCAATTCATTATGTTGATCTATGTCAAGACTAGCTTATCATTGCAGCGTCGATCAGTAGCCATGGAGGAAAAAAATTAAATGTTAGTGACGCATTTCTTTTTTCTTTTGGGGAAATGTTACAAAGTAGATAACGAATATAGTAACAAAGTTCGGAATAAAAATATAGAGTAATGATTGAATGTGGTAAAGAGTAAGTAAAATAAGATTGTACATATATTATATTATATCGTATTATTTTGCAGTTACAGAAATGGGCGTAAACTTAAAAGGGGGGAGGGGGGCTCTCGTGGCCTAGGGGTCAAGGTGTTTGCCTCTCATTCAAAGGTCCCGGATTCAAATCCGGGTTGCGACCGAAAAAAATGTCTTCTCTGAAATTGTCTCCTTTCACCTCCTTTACTCCTCTCCTGCTCTCTAGCAATGTTCTGTTGTCTGCTTTCGTTTCCACCTTCTGCCCCAACCCCCTCACCTCCCTTTCCCCCTCCTCTGGGCTCCTGACTCTTTCTGCAGCCTTTCTACTGTTTCTCCTTGGCGCCTTCTTACTGCTGTCTTCCAGTCACACCTCTGATCTTACGGTAGGAAAGATCTAAACCTAGCCTTCTCGGACAAGGGCGAAAAATCTCGGAGGTCCCGTGTGCAAGTTGCGCACGTTAAAGATATCCCTTGGTGGTCTAAAATCGATAAGAAGAGTAGGCTTCGGCAGCCACCCGGGCAAAATTCAAAATTTCCTACCAAATGAAAATATTTAATGTGTCCCGCACGCTCATGTGACCTTATCCAGGTGCGAGCGCCGTAAAACACTGTTACAAAAATAAATAAATAAATAAATAAATAAACAAAAGGA